GTCGCTGGATTCCCCCACTCTGCCCACCTAAGGAAGGTAAAATCTCGCACTCACTTTTACCTCTATTTTAAACAACTAAATAGTGCAGTATGGATTCCATAATTTTTTTGGTAATAGTGTTGTTAAGAATCTTTATATTTGTATAAAAAAAATTGTAAAATGTTAATAAATAAAATGTCACGATTAGAAATATTTAAAAAAAATTATTTCCCCCCCCCTTGGAGTTAGGTGCAATTTTTTTCTTTTAAAATTTCAAAAAAATATGTTTAATTAAATTACTTTTTTTCCCGATATTATGAAACAAAAATTGGCTGAGATACGCTTAATTGTTTATAGTGGGAAATATTACCTCTTTTCTGCAACTATTTTTATGCAAATAAACAAGAAAAATCATTTAGTGTGTATATGTAAAGGATAGATCTCATCTTCGCAAGTGAAACGATATTTTGAAAAATGTGATTTTTTGAGTTTCCTTCATTTTTCATACATAAAAAGAAACATTGTTTTTAGTAAACAAATGGATTTATTTAAAAACTATTTATCCCATTGGGCTCAAATTTGATACACTCTTTAAAGGTATCAAGGGCAATACTTTCTGTCAGTTTAAAAGTCATCTCATTAAAATTAAACAAATTATTAAACAATTAAGAAATTGCAATTTTTATCTGTTTAAATTAATTTTCTCATGAACAAATAATTGAAAATTTTTTGCGACCTATCATTTTATATGTCTTTTTAAGCTCTATCTCATTAAAATTAAACAAATTATTAAACAATTAAGAAATACAGTTAATAGTGATTTTGAGAATATAAGGAGTGTCATATGTGATTTATTAATTTCACTCTACAATAGTGTTTTGTATTCGGTAAATTTATACATACAATGTTAACTTTTTGAAGTAAATTTACTAAATTAATTTACTTAATTATTAAATACTAATTTTTATTTCGCCAAATAATATTTACCTCAATGTTTATAATAAATTTTCTACGAAAGACTGTAATAATAATATAATTATGCACACTTAACCTTAAATTATAAGTTTTATATTATACTTTCCTGATAATATGAACTTATCAATTAATAGCATAAATTTTTTAATTGTATAAAATAGAATCTTATGCTTCATTATTTACATCTGATTCAATTTCCTCCACATCTTCTTCACTGTCGCACTCGATATCATCCTCAGATTCGATTTCATTTATGTCAGCTGAAAAATGAAAACAATTAATAACTCATACTTTTAATAAATAAAATTGTCAGTGTATGTATAAAGATTTGTACCTTCAGACTCTTCTTGATTGGATTGATTAATTTAAACAGATAAAAATTGCAATTTCTTAATTGTTTAATAATTTGTTTAATTTTAATGAGATGACTTTTAAACTGACAGAAAGTATTGCCCTTGATACCTTTAAAGAGTGTATCAAATTTGAGCCCAATGGGATAAATAGTTTTTAAATAAATCCATTTGTTTACTAAAAACAATGTTTCTTTTTATGTATGAAAAATGAAGGAAACTCAAAAAATCACATTTTTCAAAATATCGTTTCACTTGCGAAGATGAGATCTATCCTTTACATATACACACTAAATGATTTTTCTTGTTTATTTGCATAAAAATAGTTGCAGAAAAGAGGTAATATTTCCCACTATAAACAATTAAGCGTATCTCAGCCAATTTTTGTTTCATAATATCGGGAAAAAAAGTAATTTAATTAAACATATTTTTTTGAAATTTTAAAAGAAAAAAATTGCACCTAACTCCAAGGGGGGGGGAAATAATTTTTTTTAAATATTTCTAATCGTGACATTTTATTTATTAACATTTTACAATTTTTTTTATACAAATATAAAGATTCTTAACAACACTATTACCAAAAAAATTATGGAATCCATACTGCACTATTTAGTTGTTTAAAATAGAGGTAAAAGTGAGTGCGAGATTTCACCTTCCTTAGGTGGGCAGAGTGGGGGAATCCAGCGACACGCGGCAGCAATCGCTCACGCCAGAATTGATACCAACTTTTCAAATTCTGAAAAGTTGCTCTAACTTTTAAACCAACTGACCGATTTTGCTCTTTCTTTTTTAAATTAGGATACATTTTTCTCAGAAGTTTCAATCTATTATCTATTTATTAAAAAAATTAATAATTCTATACAAAAATCACATTTTCAATTTTTATTTTTTTTATTTTTATAAAAAATTTAATTTAAAATAAATCATATTCATTCAAAAGTTTATAAAATCATTAAATTATGTTTAAAAATTAATGTAGCCCAAAAAAATTTCACATTTTTCAAAAATTAACTATTTAGTGCAAATAGCGCGAAATCAGCGAAATCGCATGGGAACCGCGCTTTTTATCGTTGTCTGCCTCGATGTTATCATCCGAATTTTTGTCTGCCACTTGACATATAGCTTCCATAAGAGTTCATTAACTATTTCCATTAATTTTTAGCCATGACTCTTATGATCTTTTTTTCACTACGGATTACGCAACTTTGACACTGTCTGCCAATACTTTGTCGTCCAAAAAATTGTCTGCCAAAATTTTATAAGCTTACTGGTGATAAATACTTTTAAATTTTATAACTTTTATCCATGACCTTTATCACATGTTTTCCTTATCAAATTTATCATTTTCGACCGTCAATTCGCGGGCTTAATCTTCCAGAACGCGCAGGCAGACTTCGCATTCGGTACTCAGGGACTCAAATGGAACCTATCTAAATATTAATTTTTCATGTACCTTATAACATGCATTTTTATGTAGCCAGCTCTTAGACTATAGAGATGTACTATCTGTATAGGATATACGAACACAATATGATATTCATTAATATAATTTAGATAAAACCCTGATTGCATATGAGCAATCAAAAATTAAATAAAACAAGCTATTTTTCTGTTAATAGAAAATCTTTTCTATCCAAAATCTTATTTAAAAATGTTGACTGCCAAAGAGTTAGAAATATTTTTAGAAGTATTTAAAATATATTTAAAAATATAATTATTTTACAAACAATTAAAAGCAACTTTTTAATTTATTAATATTATTAAAACTGTAAAACATTTTTCATATGAAGGTAAAAATATAAAATGTTAAAAGAATTTTCTTGTTAACTTAGAAGTTTTTCAGATTGAAATATACAGAGCAAATGTTCAGAGACTTCAAATATTTTCTGTAAAATCTTTTTCCGAAGGTCTTTCGAGCGTCAGTTGCTCTTTAGCATTTGTCAGAAAGAGTCTAAAATCGCATGGGATAAAATTATTTTGAAGTTAATATTTTGTTGTGAAGTGAGTTTTTTTGTGAATTGTTGCATTAAAATGGATATTTTTAAGTGAACAATTTGTTGTAAAGTGAATTGTTTAAGTGTTATTGTGTGATATCGAATTTTAAAGGACTGATACATTTTAATTATATTTTATAGAAATTATTAAATTGCTTTATTCAATAAATTTAAAAAAATGTATATAAAATAATTATAAATAAATTGGGTATCATAAATACGAGTTTAATTTTTTTTATCTTATGAAAAACTGGAACTGAATAATTGTATATAAATATAATGAAATTGTTTTAATTTTATTCTTTTATTTAATTGTAATTTCTGTTTATTTATTAGAACTAGAATAATAAAATATTTACAATTAATTTTAACACCAAACTAAACTAAATATCAATCCGTTCTGTTTGTAGAGAACAAATTACACTCTATATAGACTGCATATTATTTGGCCTAGATAAATACTACATACACATAGATTTGACATCAGTTTGTCTACGTACGTAGAGATGACATTTACACTCTATGTAGATTCTATATTATTTGGCCTATATAAATATTACACTCCAACCCTACGTAGATCGTATGTATATTTACCTACATAGAGCCTATGTAGAACTTTTATATAGGTCCTACATTGTTAAGCCTATGTATAGTCTATGTAGCCGAGCGTTACATTTCCGTCATAGACTGAATGTTAGTTTTAACTCGCAGGCCTATGTCGCATTGTAGGCAAGATGACATAGGGTCTACATAGAGCGGAGCCTAATTTTTATTCGAGCTCGATTCGCTTTGACGAATTACCAGAACTAATTCTGATTTTTCGTTGTTTAAAGGGGTCGTAATATTCAACTACAAATATTTTCAAGTAAAATTACGATTTCTAGCCAATATCTAACGACTTTTCATGATAAAAATTCTCTAATTTTTGATAAGCAAAAATTATTAATAAAATTCGTGACTAAAAAAATTCCAGTACAATTTTATTTTGGTATTTTTTATTAAAAAGCCGATTGTTTCACCCTATACGTTAATAAAATAAATTTTTATTTTATTTTCAATTTTTCCTTTTGTTCGTACCGATAACAATGCTTTTTCTGACCCCAATTCATTAAATTTCAAGTAGTTGGTGACCCGTTTCAACTTTCACTTTGTCGGGAACTGACTATATTCCATTGACAATGAGAAAAAGCTGCGTCAAAATTTTATCATCCAAAGGGAAATAAAAACACATTCTCATAGCACACGTATTTTTTACAACTTGTGAATTTTCCAAGAAAGCAAACACATTTCTTTATTGTTAATTTTTAAACAGTGTAAGTTTCTCAAAAATGAAAAAAATTTAGTGTTTTACTTAACAAAATAACACACGAAATGATAATTAGAAGATAGATAATAGAAATTGTAGGATTAGTAGAAAACAATAGTTATTAGTGGATTTAACCAGTAGCAGATAGTTAAGAAATAAAATCGGATCATTAATTTTACGAAAATTCTTTTCCTGAATAGAATTCGTAAATAAAGAGATTTGTCCAGCACAGTAGAAATTCGTCGAAGCAATAAAAAAAAGAGGAAAATAAAATGTCACTTTGAGAAAGCAGTAGAAAGAAAAGAAGAAGCAAGGAAAGAAATAAAAAACAGGAGTCGCCTCGAATTGGTCGATACGTTCTCGAGGGTCTTCGAGGGACTTTAAATGTCGTTTTACCTTGCGCTCCCTGCAGGAGAACCGCGGCAATTCCTAGGGGATTTCCCGAAACTGGGGCCTGCTTATTGCCCGTCGCCGGAACCATTACCCTGGAGAATACTGATGTGGCTGCAGGACTGTTAGGTGGTGTGCCCTGCGACGCGTAGCCTTTTTTCATTTTGTTGCAAGGGTCAACAAAATCAAAAATGAAAAGATAAAACAGAAGAAATTCTTTTAATTAAAATTGTCAAGAGTAATAAATTAAAATTTCTCATAACATCCAAACACGAAGGCAAACAAATTTCCTTAGAATTTATTGATTGTTAGTCGTTAAGAAACACAAGAGTCTTGAGAAATTAAAGAAAGTAATTAAAATTAGTTAAATAAGTCATTTTTTTCTTCTTTTAATTTTAAATTTTTGTGATAGTAATTCAAATACCGAGTTCTTTAGGTTCCCAAATTTTACTTTGAGTTTGTTAATCGGATTTGAGAAAAATGAAAAAATTACTGATGTGCCAAACAGTACAATTGAGGCCTTGGATCCAATAACTCACCCGACGCTCGAAGACACGCGCTCATACCAGTCGGGTAGCAGTGAGTGGACCAGAGGCGCTCACTGCTCACTGACTGGCAGTTGCGCGTTCCTCCGAGCGTCGGGCGAGTTATTGGATCCAAGGCCTCAATTCTTTCTTTTTTGAAACAAGTGCTGCTTTTTATTGAAATGCAAGAGTTTCGAAAAAGAAAGCTGCAATACGTTTTGACTGCCACCATAGGGAGTTCCGGTGTAATTGGCTTTGTTTCTTGCGTTCTGGTCAAAGAAATGTTAATAAACACGAAAATAAATAATAAATATCCCAAAAAGTCAAAATTCTTTAAGAAACGCTATTTTAGGCCCACTTAGGTAGGATCTCCCCTTCATAACAAACCTTTTTTTAATTTTCCAAATATGTTTCACATACTACGCCTAATTATTATTAATTAGTATAATTAGCATTATATTATTAAGTTAGATATTAGTTACATTACATAATATTTTTAAATATCCTCTCGTAATTTTCAATTTATTTTAATTTGAATTGTTGAATAAGTCATAAAATTTAACGACCTCAAAAATCGTTTTAGATGATGAAAAATTCTTTATTATTGTGGGAATTTTCAACAAATCATGAAATTTATATGGGTCATAAAAAATTTTGAAATTATGATCAATTGTAAATTTCCACTCAGCATATTCTTAAATTAATCAGATAGTGAATATTAATTAAAAGATTCGAACGCTGTTTTAATTAAATTAACAGTAATAAACTATTTCTTTCCATTTCTTTCCTAAATGACTTGAGTAGTGTTATAATTTATAAAATAATTTTTTTAATAATTTGAAAAAAAATTACTATTAAAAACAGTATTTTAATATCTAAAGCAAACTTTAAATTTATGGTTTTATTTTTTTTTTACTAGTTTTCTAATTTTGACTTCCAGAGTGGAAATAACTTTAAGGACCCGTGTGGAAAAAGCCACGTTCGAGCCCCACAGCTCCGAGGCCCCCGTTGGGGGCCCTCGTGGAAGATCCATGAGAAGAAATCCACGAGGGCACCAGCAGGGGCCCCGTTCTTTACCCTTACGGTTGCCCAGCTCAAAAATTTATCTAAGTTTCGAAAAAAAAATTTTTTTATTGAAAAACTTTAGTTCAGAATGCATTAAATTACATTTCAAAGCACCTGAAATAAACATTAAGTGACATTTTTCCAGAAATCCTATCACAAAGTTATGGAAATTTACGAGGGCACCAGCAGGGCCCCTGCTCTTAGCCATTATGAATGCCCTGCTCAACAATTTTTCTAAGTCCAAACAACGAATATTTTTTACAACAAAAAATTATTGTTTACAATCATTTTAAACAATGAAAAACACGTTTTTAACAAATATTTAATGTTACTTTTTTTGAAAATATTGAACTTACCTAAGGGCAAATCTTTGAGGGCCCACGCGAGGGGCCCTCATGGATCGCCCACATCATTGACTAGCAAAAATTTCTAAGTCAAAAAAAAAAATTTTTTTTACATAAAAAAATTAATGTTTATAATGATTTTAAACTATGAAAAACGCGTTTTTAACACAAATGTTTTGACATTTTTTTTTTTTTTTGAAATGATAAAAATATTAATTTATGAATATTTATTGTCTATTATTATATTATTAATATTCGAGGCGTTTACTTTTCTTGATAGAGGAGGATATATTCAGGATTTGAACAATGTCCCTATTATATATCATGTAAAGAGGCACGCCTGGAACAAAACAATAAAATATAATAGAGACGATATTGCCAGAAATCCAGAAATTAAATTAATACTATCACAGGCTATACCAAATATAGATAAACTTGACAAAAGCACTAGAAACAAAAACAGATATGTATCAATGGTTAAATGTTCAATAAATAGTTTATTTTAATAATAGTTGTTGTTATTCATCGTATTTAATATTATTAATCTCAAATTAAACTGAATGCGATAATGTATTTTCTTATATAAAATTGTGAATATAATTGCGCCCTCAAAGGATCAACTGTGTTGTCCTTTTTTGTGTGTGGTTTTTGTTTTATTGTATAAAACGATATGAAATGAGAAGAACACTACCTAACGTGAAAATTGACAGTTTGCGAAATTTTTTTTGGCTGCAAACCTTAAAAAGAATCATTGAAAAATAATTTAAATATAAACATTGTAAAAATTATATTCTGCAAGTATAGACTTTAGTCTATCGACAGACATTGTTTACTTAAATCACGACACAACGTCGTACACTTAGTTGTTATTGTTATCTTACGTTGTTATATCATTTTATAATTTGTTGAATAAAAAGAAACATTAAAAAAAAAAAAAAAAACATAGTGGTAAGAGTGTTGTCTGGTAGTTAGTAGGTCGTAGGCTCAATTCCCGCGTGTGTCAGATTTTTTTTTATTTTTGGTCACGATTTAATTAAAAAAAGTAAAAATTGTTAAATAAGAATGTTATTTGTCAATAATTGGACTAATTTGTTATTAATAAATAATTAAATTATTAATTTAATTGAAAACAAAGTTGAGGGCATTTTATGAAATCCACGAGGACACCGCGTGGAAAATCCATATGGAATCCATGAGGATTTTCCTCGAGGGCACCCATGAGGGAAAGCATGTCACGCCTTCGAGGGCTTCACGTGGATTGCCCCTACGGATTCCATAAGGCAAGAGGGCAATCCACGAGGGCCTCGCCGGGGGCCCTCACCATTTTTCTGCACGGGGAGTATTATTTTTAAACAGAAATGCAAGTGAATGTTTGCCACGGTAACATTTCAGTAGGATGTCTGCAATTCTGAATTTGAAATGCTCGTAACCGATTTATTTTCGTCAGATTAAAATAGAATGGAGTCAGGTAGTGTCTGACCGTGGCCGGACTTGTTGATTATCAAGAGCATGTATGTCTCTCTTTTCTGAATTATGAATGTCAACATTTTTCAAGCGCACAATTACATTTTTAATATAAATTTTAACTGTTTTTCCCTACCACTTACAATTGTCAAATTGCTTCGACGTTCCTGCGATAGACATATTTTCCGTCTAGAATCAATTTAAAAAAAAATACACTTCGGGAAAAAAAATTCACATTTCTCATAGTCACTCATTTCTTAACATTTTTTTTGTAACTAAATAATTTAAATATTAATATGGTCAATAAGGAAAAGTGTATTCATTCACTGGAAAATTCACAAGTAGTTTTAATTTTTTTTATTTTCAATTGTTATATTTACAATCCATTGAATATTTTTATTTTTAAATTTGTTTAAGGAAGAGGTATTTAAATTGAATACGCAAGGAAAACGTTCGCGAACTATGGACTCAATGCGATGTACTAATGCCAGGGCGAAACAAGTATTTTCGTTGGCTGTTAAGAGAGCTTAAAAACATCTCAAGTTGATTCACAATTTCCTCCCTCCATTTAGGAACGTAATCGAAAGCTAAGAACGTTTCACAAATACATCGCCAAAAAAATTCAAGTTTTCGATCAAAAAATGTTTTTAGGAATTCAAGAAATCTTTTGCCACAAAATTTACACTGAGTCGACCCAGCCTGGTCGACCCAGCCTGAATGATAGTAATCCTCTAGTGCAACTGCCTTGATATTTATACTCCACTTAGAGGCACTCAGGCCCCATGATTGGCTCAGCTGGAGAAAAGTGGGAGGAGTTTCGAGTAGAGAGTGGGAGCGTCAAACGAGAGTGGGGAAATGCGAAAGAGAAAGAAGCAACAGCAAAATCTTTCTATCACTCGCATTTCTCTATTTTCCCATTTAACTATTCCCTCCATTTTCGACTCGATTCTTCAATTCAATAATAAAATAACAAAAATCATAATAAAATCGATCTAAAGTCAGAAAATTACATTAAGATCTAAATTCTTTTAGAAGATGATTAAAATTAACTTTAAAAAAACTATACCAAAAATTAAAAGCAATATAATATTCACCAAACCATTTGGTAATTTTACTCATTTCACAATACTTTTTAATAATTTTCATAAAGAGTAGAAAGAAAGTTGTTAATTATGTTAATCACGAAGACACAATTATTTACAATGAATAAAATAATGGAGTGCATTGTTTTACATTATTGTTTTTAACAAACATGGTGAAAGACAGTCAATCGTTTTTTCATCTCTTGTTTTTCATTTGCTTTTAACAAATCGAGTGTTATAATTCGAAACTCGAAATCAATTTTTATTCATTAAATTCGAGCTCCTCGCGTCATTTTTTTTATACAGAAAACAAAATTTTTTTGTACAAGTAAATAATTTAAAAAGCATTGTCGATATACGCTGAGACACTTGTAGTAATTATAAAAAAAGGTAAATATTAATTTATAAAAACATATGCTAAATAATAATTTATAAAAAATATGGTAAATATTTAATTTAAAAAAAATATGCTGAATATTTAATTATTATACAGTGATCGAAACATCACTGAAACAAGTGTTTCAACGTTCGAAAGAGATGAATGCAACAGAAGAAGAAATAATTTGAAATAAGAAAAAAATTTCAAACGATATTATGTTAGAACCAAAAAGACAAAAATCTAAAAATAAAGACATCGTACGATTTTGTTTTATAAAAAAAATTACCTTCGGGTTCTTTAGCAATGACCGTGCTGCTCCGGTCGACGCCGCCCTTCTTATCCTCTGTACAACATATATTTTTACATATTTATACATTTGCCTAAAGCCTACTATATCGACATTATTTAATTTTTACATGTTCATTTGCATATCTATTCTTAGAAAATGCAGTATGCACTCCATAGTTTACTATAAAAAAAACAAAAAAATTTCAATTTTCATTCATTTCAATACCGACAAGTCTTCGACAAAATTTTGTTATTTACTCATTTATTCATAACCCTGATAGATATGAAGTATGGTAATTTTAGCAATTGTCGAAAACTGTCTAAATTATTTTTCTTAAATAAATAAATTAATTAATTAAATTCCGATTTCAAAAAAAGATGGTTTTTTGTGCTTACTGATTATCACAGGCCTGCAAAATTAAACTTTTTTTCGGCATAATGGATGCGACTAGGTGTTTCCGAAGGTAAATTTTGCGCTGAACACGAATTCTGAGTGCAAAATGCTCCATTACGTCAAGTTTTTGAGAAAAATTTGGTTTGAAACCCCCTAAGAACAGCGTTTTTGGCACTTTTTGAAAAATTGTGGGGCAAATTCCTGACGTGATAGAAACTTCGCTATTAACAGAAATTAAAGCTTAATTCATGCCCTTTCAAATGAGCTCTCAGCCGACTAATATGATTCAACCCTTGAAGCAGGAGGTGTGTTTTTGTCCAAGGCTGCGACAATTTTAAAATACAAAATATTGGAATTCTAGAGGATAAAAAAATAATTGAAAAAGAATAAGCCATGTACTCAAACCTGTAGCAAAATAAATTTTCTCGATTCACTACCCCTAAAAACAACCCTTAAATATTTTTTGTTATAAACTGAAATATCTGCAGAAATAGTATATTAAGCAACAAGGGTAAATTGGCTGCCTTTATTCCCGTGTTACTTACGATATTTTTTATTCCTAATGCACAAAAGTGGCGATTTCAGATAGCAGACGACAGGGAGTAAAAGTCATTCACTTGTTCGACTTATATGAAAATAGAGGCCGTTTTCTCCCATGGGCAAAAATAACGCATGGGATCAGCTGTTATGTTTGCCTCTTGGGAGAAAATGGACGCCATTTTCATATAGTCGAACAAATGTGTGACTTTACTCCCTGTCGTCAGCTATCTAAAAGCGCCATTTTTGTGCATGTGGGAGAAAAAATATTATAAATGTTATATTGACCATTCTCGTACACTAAGCAACCATAAAAACAATCTAGAACATCTCTCTGTTTAAAAACAACCATTTGAGTACACGGCTTATTCTTTTTCAATTATTTTTTTTATCCTCTAGAATTCCAATATTTTGTATTTTAAAGTTGTCGCACCCCTGGACAAAAACACACCCTCTGATTTATGGGTTGAAGCATATTAGTCGGCTTTTTCTAATCTAGGTGCTGACTTTCCCCTCTTTAGGAAAATCCAGCTCGATCTCGGTTGTTAGATTAGATATTAGTCGGCTAAGGGCTCATTTGAAAGGGCATGAAATAAGCTTTAACTTCTGATAATAGCGAAGTTTTTGACACGTCAGGAATTTGCCCTACAATTTTTCAAAAAGTGCCAAAAACGCTGTTTTTAGGGGTTTCAACCCCATTTTTCTCTAAAAATTGACGTGATGGAGCATTTTGGACTCAGAATTCGTGTTCAGCGCAAAATTTTCCTTCGGAAACACCTAGTCGCATCCGTTATGCCGAAATGATGCAGGCCTGTGTTATGAATGGCAAGTCAAATTTAAAAAATTTAAATATAGGATTTAATATAAAAGATAAAAAGAAATAAAAATAAAAACTGTTAACAAGGTATTGTAACTTCTTTTCAGACGGTAGCATTTTCTAAAATTGCATTTGCCCACATCCTTTCATATAAATTACATTTTCCCCACTAACTTCTCTATTCTAGAAATTACTTTCTCCGGTTCACGAAAGACACACACACACACACACACATATATATATATACACTACCGTCGGGAATTATCGGTACGGCTACAAGCGCACGGCCCAAAAACATACCAATCTATAAATCACGATATTTTTGTAAATACAAATGTCAGAAAATGAACAAATATACCATTCGAAAGATTATTCAATTCTACGATTAATGATACATAAATGAAAATTTTAATAATTTATACAAAGATTGCAGCAATCGACAAATTTGACAAAAAAATTTAAAAAATAAAATTTTTTTGGAAATTTTTTCAACCCCTGCACATTTTTTAAAAATTGTAGAAAAATTTTAAAACTTACATAAGAGTGATCATTTAAGTCTCATCTTTAATTTAAGACCAAGAGAGTTCAAAAATCTTAATCGGTTAGCGATATATCATTATAAACGGCCGAGTATTTTCAGCCTAAAATCGTTTAAAATCGACTAATTCAATGCATTTGTCAAAAAACATGCTCGGACGTTTATAATGATATCTCACGAAAGGAATAAGATTTTTAAACTCTTTTGGTCTTAAATTAAAGATAAGAGTTGAGTTATCACACTTATGTAAGTTTCACATTTTTTCTACAATTTTTAAAAAATGTGCGGGGTTGAAAAAATTTCCAAAAAATATTTTTTTTTAAATTTTTTTTGTCAAATTTGTCGATTGCTGCAATCTTTGTATAAATTATTAAAATTTTCAGTTATGTATCATTAATAGTAGAATTTAATAATCTTTCGAATGGTATATTTGTTAATTTTCTGACTTTTGTATTTACAAAAATATCGTGATTTATAGATTGGTATGTTTTTAGGCCGTGCGCGTGCAGCCGTACCGATAATTTCCGACGGTAGTGTATATATATATACATTTTTATTTTAATTGTGTGATATGATGTCAATGGAAGAGTTTTTTAAATTCTTGACTCATGCATTTTTGTATTTTAGAGATTTATTAATACAGTGCAATGCAAGCTGACACGATTGCTACAATGACCTCGAGTAAAATTATCTTTTTTTTAAATTTAAAATATTTAAATATATAATTTAAAACTCTGAAGAAATATACCAAAGAAGCATGTTGCATTTTAAGCCTATGTTTGTGTTATTTTTACCATTAATTAAAAGTTTCTCTTTAATTATTGTAAAATTAAATTTTAATTAAAAAAACAAAATAAATTTTTATTAGTTATTTTATGAAAGTTGATATATATATATATATATATATATATATATATATATATATATATATATACACGGAAAAAAATACTAGGCTAAAAACACATGAGCGTCTGTTGTGTATATTGCACGCACACTACCATGCGTGATTAGCTTGGAATCCATCCTATTTTCGCATGGTGCTGTGGCAAAAGTCACAAAAGCCATGCATTTTTAGTAAACTCCTGTGTGATATTTGCAAAATGGGCTCATGTAAAAATCGAACCAATAGACTCCATGCATTATTAGGCTGATTTTTTTTTCCGTGTATAAATTCAACTGTAAGACGCACTGAAGAAAGATATAGTTAAGAAGCAAAATTTTAGGTTATGTTTATAATTTATGTAAATAAAAATGTACAAAAGGCATCAACTTTCATAAAATAACTAATAAAAATTTATTTTGTTTTTTAAATTAAAATTTAATTTTACAATAATTAAAGAGAAACTTTTAATTAATGGTAAAAATAACACCAACATAGGCTTAAAATGCAACATGCTTCTTTGGTATATATATATATATATATGGATATATATACACACAGAATACCTAACTATGCATCAGTCCACGAGTGCGAAGAGGACACTCTTATGCGGCGTTCAATGTTCGCTCACTCGCACTCACGCTTAGGGGTGATTCATAGTTAGATACTCTTACTGTATATATATATTACTCTCTAAATTTAAATTAATTAAAAATAACTAATTTGATAGCAAAAAGTCAGTCACTGATTCAAATAGTAACATTTTACTAATAAACTAATAATTAGTTATTTTCTACGTATAGTTAGTTATTTTTTATTAATTGCTGAAGCAAAGAGTCAAATACGATTTTACTAATAATTAATTATTTTTAACTAATTCAGATTTACAGAGTAAATAAATTTAATATTACCTATAAATTTAAAAAAAACTTTTTTCTCCCATAATTTTTAAAAATTTATTGTCCTGTATTTATCCGAATTTTTGGGGCTAAACTATATATATATGCAGAAGCAAAAGGCACATGCGCTCGAATGGATTAATCTTTGATTTTTGTTTTTTATGAAGAGAAGACGAGAAACATTATTTTCGAAAAAAACAATTCTGATAAAATTGTATAAAAAAATGCATGCTGCGATTCTTTATGTGAAAACTAATGTAAATATTTAACTGATTCGTACAACAAAAATTTAATTAATTTTTTAGGTATAAATTACAATATTTGAAAATTACTTTTCATTTATATTTACAGTAGTGAAAAATTATCTAACAATTAATTTCATAATATTAATCTACTTCTCTATAAGTGAATAAAATTTAATTTTTAAACAGAATTTAAAATTGTTTTTTTAATTTTTAAACTTTTTATTTAATTAACATTCAATTAATTTCGCTATTAACAAATATTTTTAAGGAAAACTAAATATAAAATTAGCTCAGCAAGAAGAATTTTTCTTAAAAAATATTTGTTTCGTTTATACGTTATTTTTAACTTTTAATTCAATTAATAGCAAAATTAATTGAATGTTAATTAACGAAAAAGATGAAAAATTAAAATAAGAATTTTAAATTTAGAAAGATATAAAATTAGCTCATCGAGAAATCAGTTTGTATGCAAATTTTTTAACCAAGATTTGATTCTCGGTTAATTCAATTTTTTTTCTCTTTAAAGTATACGTTATTTATCTTAAAATCTTCTTTCAAGTCCCAAAATTCCTAACTAATTAAAACAATTGTTTTAGTAATAAAATTTAACAAAATTTAAAAAAATGTAATAAAGTTTAATTAAAATTAATAGAATTTAATACAATTTACAATAAAAATTAATAAAAAATTTTCAAAATATAATATATTTATGAAGGTGCGTGCATAAATAAGGTGAGAGAGAGTA